ACTCAGATTCAAAAACAGTTTATAGAAGTAAATTGCATTTGGTCGACTTATTTTTTAAAAGCACACTCTCCCTTCTCCTCTTTCTTTATTCTCACTCCTTTGGTGTGCTGAAGGTATTTGAGATTGAGGTAGAAAAGTCAAATTCCATTTGGATTCCATTCAAAGTATATTTTCTCTCTCTGGAGATGGCCTTTGTTCACTCTGTAGGAATATCAGTTATATATTTAAATGTTAAGAATATGGGATATAAATAAATAAATATTTAATATGTATTCACTTATTTTGTTATGAAACTGAATTGTGAGAATGTATCACCCCTTAATATGATCAATGAGAATATCTAGCGACGTAAGTTAACACAACCTGTTAAATCTAGAGCCACGTCATAGTTTCATGATAATATAATTAAAGTCACATTAAACACAACTATTAATTATTATTTTTAAATACAGTGCATTCGGAAAGTATTCAGACCCCTTGCCTTTATCCACATTTTGTTACATTACAGCCTTATTCTAAAATGGATTTAATTATTTTTTTCCCTCATCAATTTACACACAATACCCCATAATGACAAAGCTAAAACTGTTTTTTAGAAGAAATGTTTGCAAGTGTATAAAAAATAAAAAAACGGAAATACCTTATTTACATAAATATTATACAACTTGATTGGAGTCCACCTGTAGTAAATTCAATTGATTGGACATGATTTGGAAAGGCACCCACTTGATTATATAATATCCCACAGTTGACAGTGCATGTCAGAGCAAAAACCAAGCCATAAGGTCAAAGTAATTGTCCGTAGAGCTCCGAGACACGATTGTGTCAAGGCACAGATCTGGGGAAGGGTACCAAAAACATTCTGCAGCATTGAAGGTCCCCAAGAACAGAGTGGCCTCCATCATTGTTAAATGGAAGAAGTTTGGAACCAGCAAGACTCTTCCTAGAGCTGGCTGCCTGGCCAAACTGAGCAATCAGGGGAGAAGGGCCTTGGATAGGGAGGTGACCAAGAACCCGATGGTCACTCTGACAGAGCTCTAGAGTTCCTCTGTGGAGTTGGGAGAACCTTCCAGAAGGACAACCATCTCTGCAGCACTCAAACAATCAGGCCTTTATGGTAGAGTGGCCAGATGGAAGCCACTGCTCAGTAAAAGGCACATGACAGCCCGCTTGGAGTTTGCCAAAAGGCACCTAAAGGACTCTTAGACCTTGAGAAATAAGATTCTCTGGTCTGATGAAACCAAGATTAAACTCTTTGGCCTGAATGCCAAGCGTCACATCTGGAGGAAACCTGGCACCATCCCTACGGTGAAGCATGGTCGTAGCACCACCATGCTGTGGGGATGTTTTTCAGCGGCAGGGACTGGGAGACTAGTCAGGATTGAGGCAAAGATGAACGGAGCAAAGTACAGCGAGATCCTTCATGAAAACCTGCTCCAGAGTGCCCAGGACCTCAGACTGGGGCGAAGGGTCACCTTCCAACAGGACAACGACCCTAAGCACACAGCCAAGATAACACAGGAGTGGCTTCGGGATAAGTCTCTGAATGTCCTTGAGTGGCCCAGCCAGAGCCCGGACTTGAACCCGATCGAACATCTCTGGAGAGACTTGAAAATAGCTGTGCAGCGACGGTCCCCATCCAACCTGACAGAGCTTGAGAAGATCTGCAGAGAAGAATGGGAGAAACTCCCCAAATACAGGTATTCCAAGCTTGTAGCATCATACCCAAGTAGACTTGAGGCTGTAATCGCTGCCAAAGGTGCTTCAACAAAGTATTGAGTAAAGGGTCTGAATACTTATGTAAATTAATTTAATTTTTATGAATTAGCAACAATTTCTAAAAACCTGTTTTTGCTTTCTCGTTATGGGGTATTGTGTGTAGATTGGGGGGGAGGAGAAACAATTTAATCAATTTTAGAATATGGATGTAACATAACAAAATGTGGAAAAAGGGAAGGGGTCTGAATACTTTCCGAATGCACTGTATATAAAGCTCAAGCCCACATTTCTTTCTCAAAGCTCTGTAAAGCAGACTGGCCAAAATGAATCTCTTGAATGTTCTTTTAAAACCATCCACCAACCAACACAGCCTCCCCTGTCTTCTCTAGCTGCACAGTACAGTACGTTTTATTCCTCGGATCACAAGGTAATCTGGGGCCACTATAGGGGAGGTATCGGAGTTGTGTCAGTCTAATCTCTGTGTTTGTTCATGGTGAGATCACATGGATCAATATTTCCCACTCCATCTTAGCTGATATAATGGAAGCTACACTACCGTTCAAAAGTTTGTGATCAATTTCCTTGTTTTCGAAAGAAAAGCAATTTTGTTGTCCATTAAAATAACATCAAATTGATCAGAAATACAGTGTAGACATTGTTAATGTTGTAAATGGCTATTGTAGCTGGAAACAAAGGCCCATTATCAAAACCCATCAGTCCTGTGTTCCAACGGCACGTTGTGTTTGCTAATCCAAGTTTGTCATTTTAAAAGGCTAATTGATCATTAGAAAACCCTTTTGCAATTATGTTAGCACAGCTGAAAACTGTTGTGCTGATTAAAAAAGCAATAAAACTGGCCTTCTTGAGACTAGTTGTGTATCTGGAGCATCAGCAATTGTGGGTTCGATTACAGGCTCAAATAGCCAGAAACAAATAACTTTCTTCTGAAACTCGTCAGTCTATTCTTGTTCTGAGAAATGAAGGCTATTCCATGCGAGAAATTGCCAAGTAACTGAAGATCTCGTACAACGCTGTGTACTACTCCCTTCACAGAACAGCGCAAACTGGCTCTAACCAGAATAGAAAGAGGAGTGGGAGGCCCAGTGCACAACTGAGCAAGAGGACAAATACATTAGAGTGTCTAGTTTGAGAAACAGACGCCTCACAGGTCCTCAACTGGCAGCTTCATTAAAAACACCAGTCTCAACGTCAACAGTGAAGAGGCGACTCCGGGATGCTGACCTTCTAGGCAGAGTTGCAAAGAAAAAGCCATATCTCAGACTGGCCAATAAAAATAAAAGATTAAGATGGGCAAAAGAACACAGACACTGGACAGAGGAAGATTGGAAAAAAGTGTTATGGACAGACGAATCGAAGTTTGAGGTGTTCGGATCACAAAGAATAACATTTGTGAGACGCAGACCAAATGAAAAGATGCTGGAGAAGTGCTTGATGCCATCTGTCAAGCATGGTGGAGGCAATGTGATGGTCTGGGGGTTCTTTGGTGGTGGTAAAGTGGGAGATTTGTACAGGGTAAACGGGATCTTAAAGAAGGAAGGCTATCACTCCATTTTGCAACGCCATGCCATACCCTGTGGACGGCGCTTGATTGGAGCCAATTTCCTTCTACAACAGGACAATGACCCAAAGCACAGCTCCAAACTATGCAATAACTATTTAGGGAAGAAGCAGTCAGCTGGGATTCTGTCTATAATGGAGTGGCCAGCACAGTCACCGGATCTCAACCCTATTGAGCTGTTGTGGGAGCAGCTTGACCGTATGGTACGTAAGAAGTGCCCATCAAGCCAATCCAACTTGTGGGAGGTGCTTCAGGAAACATGGTGTGAAATCTCTTCAGATTACCTCAACAAATTGACAACTAGAATGCCAAAGGTCTGCAAGGATGTAATTGCTGCAAATGGAAGATTATTTGACGAAAGCAAAGTTTAATAAAAATCATTATTTCTAACCTTGTCAATGACTACATTTCCTATTAATTTTGCTATATTTCCTATTCAAACTCATTTCATTTATGTTTTCATGGAAAACAAGGACATTTCTAAGGGACCCCAAACTTTTGAACGGTAGTGTATATTATACAGATATACAGATATTAGTATGTTGCTTGATGTTTATGGTTGTGTCTCAAGACAGTGGTTGTGTCTCAAATGGCACCCTATTCCTTACATGTTGCATTACTTTTGACCAGAGTCCTATGGGGCCTGGTCGAAAGTAGTGCACTACATAGGGAATAGGGTGCCATTTGGGATGCACACTATTGTATCCCAGAAGAATTGAATCTTAGTGCAGTCAGTTGTGTGGTTTAGTGAAACATGGCCAGTGATGTTAGTGCACTGAGTGGTATCTTGACCCCTCTGGGCAGCAGCATCAGAGCAGCTAACATGCTTTGGCATCCGTGTGACAGGATTAACACATCAAAAGCAGTGGCAGTGGCCTACAGCAGCGACCCCACTGTCAGTACCACACCTTTCATGTTCAACTACAGGTTCACTACAATGTCCCCTGCTGCTCACAACGTGACAAGGGGAGACAGATAAGGGGGACACCCTGACGTTATCAGGTTTCCCTTCAACTTCTGTGAAAGACGTAAATCCCAAAATGTTAAAACAACATCCAGGTTTATGGTGCAAGTCGCCAGGCATGTTGTGGTTGTGATGTGTGGTTGCTAGGTAAATGTGTCTGAGGAGGACTGTGGGGTGCTGGTCTGGACTTTTCTCAACATCAGTATTCATCTTTTATGTTCTCTATAGGGCACAGCTTCAGTGTCTCCTTGAGCTATGAGTGAAATTGATTTTTAAATGTGTTTCCTCTCAGAATGTACACTCACAATTTGACCATTATTTTAGCTGCAATATCTGTGTTCAATGTCGTGATAAAGTGTCTAGTGTACACTCCAGTCTTTCTCCCAAAAGGAAGTATCACTCAAGTATAAACTTCAGTCTTTCTACCAATATGAAGTATCACTCGATGATGAGGTTATGGACCGTTGAGTCTCATACCCCAGTCCCCTGTAGCTCAGTTGGTAGAGCATGGCGCTTGCAACGCCAGGGTTATGGGTTCGATTCCCACGGGGGGCCAGTATAAAAAATGTATGCACTCACTAACTGTAAGTCGCTCTGGATAAGAGTGTCTGCTAAATGATTAAAATGTAATTAATCTCACCTTACTTCACATGCTCAGGTGATTGACATCAAGGAGAAACTGAAGCTGTTCAAGAAGTTGTGGTCCAACCTGCCTGAGGACATCTGCCAGCCACACAGGGTGACAGCAGGGAATGCCACTGATGACGACCAGTGTTGGAATGGGCACACCAAGGGCAGGTAAGACTGGACTACAGAAATCTTTAATCGCACCCAATCACCGGCTGCTTACCCTGAACACTTAGGTAAACTAGTACTAAATTACTTCCATTATATGTCTGATCCCGGAATTAAGAACCTCTCAGATTATGTATTTTGCACTGACCCAAATACAACAGCTAGCTGTTGGAGAGCCTTGACATTTCTGGTAGAGGCATTGCAAAACAAGTGGAAGACAAAATTTGCTGTGCACTCCAAAGTCCTCCAAGGAGTTGGGAAACATAAAAGCGTCAGAGCCAAACTGAGCCTTCCCTGGAGAGGGCCTTTAATGTTTGTTTTAATTTGCTTTGATGTCTTTTTATAACCAGCATGATGCCCCGTTGCTGGAACTAATTGCATTAGCAGCCAAAGTGTTTGACAATTGAAGTTAAATGCTGATTTGTCCCAAAAGGGGAGACTAATAAACTACTGTTATTAAAAGTCATAATCCAACTTTAACATGTGCATATTGACTACTTGCTGGGTGACTTCACTTGAATAATAATAGCATAGCTCATTTATGTTTCTCATTCAGTCATTTTTAATATAATATTTAGGAGTTTCCTATGTGTATGCTAATTACATAGAGGTTGCATTTACATTGACATTTACATCATTTAGCAGACGCTCTTATCCAGAGCGACTTACAAATTGGTGCATTCAACTTATGATAGCCAGTGGGACAACCACTTTTTTTATTTTCTTTTTTTTTTATTGGGGGGGTAGGGGAGGGAGGTGTAGAAGGATTACTTTTATACTATTCCAGGTATTCCTTAAAGAGGTAGGGTTTCAAGTGTCTCCGGAAGGTGGTCAGTGACTCCGCTGTCCTAGCGTCGTGCGGGAGCTTGTTCCACCATTGGGGTGCCAGAGCAGCGAATAGCTTTGACTGGGCTGAGCGGGAACTGTGCTTCATTCTAGAATTGTGATTGTGTGTGTTTCACAGGAAGTTGGTGGCACCTTATTTGGGGAGAACAGGCTCGTGGTAATGGCTGGAGCGGTTTCCATGTATTGGATGCCATTCCATTTGCTCCGTTCCAGCCATTATTGTGATCCGTCCTCCCCTCAGCAGCCTCCTGTTGTGTGTTTCCTACTGAACATCTGTTCCCTGTCTTTCTTGATATGCCATGTTGTCTTGTATAAACATACTTCCCCTACTGGTTAGCCCTGGTTTAACACCCAAGGTTGAGATAGAAACATAACTAAAGATTCTGAGGCAGGGGAGGCTGGTGGGAAGAGCTATAGGAGGACAGGCTCACTGTAATCGCTGGAATGGAATGAATGGAACAGTATTAAACACATCAAACATATGGAAACCAAATGTTTGACTCCTTTCCAATTATTCCATTCCAGCCATTACAATGAGCCCATCCTCCTATAGCTCCTCCCACCAGCCTCCACTGTTCTGAGGGCGCTGCTGTGGCAAGCATCAGTTTTGTTCTACTTACTGAGCAATACAACCTGTGATAGGTCTTGTGGGTATTCCAAGGATAATAGATTGGCAGACAGATTTTTACACTGGTAAATGGTAGGGAATAATATTTTTGTAACAGCTCAATGTCTATTGTTTGTGAGTTTAGTATTTGTTGTTTTGATGCCCAAGAGGTCCTGATTTCAACTATGACTCATACAAAAAGTGTACTTCTTGGTTAGTTGTTATCCGAAGCTGTCAGACTTTCAGAGTAGCACGGATAGGTGGATGTAGGAAAACAAAGTTAGTATTGGAGATGAAACATAACATAGCACAGCCCTTTGTGGGTGGCAGTGGCTACTGTGTTGTGAAATAAACAGAAAGTGACCTCTGTAATATTCTCCAGGGTGAAATATCTTGCAGGGTGTAAACACATTCCGAGGCAGTTCAAGAGTTCACTCTACTCACCCTGGTCACCCCTGACAGACCTGTGCTAGTCATGCCTGTCAGAAGGAGAGCAGAGGACAGAAAAACATGGTAGAGAGCTACATGGAGGGTCCAGCCTTTGTCTCTGTCCTTTCTTATTCAACTGGTGGGTGCAGAGCCCACAGCCTCGGTTGTGGAGAATTCTGTGTAACAGACACAGCATGCAGGGGAGGCCAGACCAGACTTTAAACCCTCTAGAGTCTAAGCCCTGTCTAAACTGGGGGGTGGGGGTGGGGTTCTAATCCAACATATGGAATTGTTTTAAGTTGGTCGTACCAAGGACCATTTAGCTATTTGATTTAGAATTTTAAGACCCCTTAATGTATCAAAAAAATATATAAAACAATTATTTGATGAAACATTGAATTTGGCATTACTGCTATTAGACAATAGAAACGAGTTGAATAACAGATGAACTACATGGAACAACAGATAGCCCCCCAAAATAATCTAAAGGAAGTTTGTTCTGAAGTGTCTGTCCTATATCTGAGAGATATAAGAAAATCAGGAAACTATTTGTAAGTATTTTTTTACATGTATTTTATCCCCTTATTTTAGGCACTAAACTATCTCCATTAATACTGTACTTCCATTCATTTTTTAAACTGGTACCGGGGACCTTCACACGACATATTAGTGTGTAGCCCAAACCGTTCTGACGCTACAGACAGAAGTTGGCAGAAGAGGCTGTACAGACTTCAGACAAGTCTTGTGAGGCTTGTGGCCAAACCGTTCGGACGATACAGATGTTTTCGTGAGAAGATCCCTTTTTCTGGATGTCTCATGGTCTGACAAACACCGCTCTAGCTCTACCACCTTTCACTGCAGATGCGGAAGGCTGATATCGGCGGATGCGGTGGATTGAAACCCAGCCCATGCAAAGATATCTCTAGCTTAAACAGATGGATTTTGATGGGGATTTTTGTATTATCTTAATTGATTTCCACGGGGCTGCGGAAATTGTAGGCTAAGGGTTAATGAGGCTGTCGAGTGTCATTAACCGCTCTGGCATTACTCCTCAGTGTGTTGCTTCAATGTTCTGCTAATTGCCTAATGAATTGGTTTCCCTCGGTGTGCTTAAGACATGATTTTTATGAAAAACAGTTTCAGGGGATTTCAGTGGTAACTATGGTAACTCTTTATAGTACATATGAAATGATAAGGCATCTTTTTTTGTCCTGCCTGGCAGGTATTTCCCGGAGGTTATGAAAGACGGATTGACCAATCAGGTGAATAACCCAGAGGTGGGCGTGGACATCACCAGGCCGGACACGTTCATTCGCCAGCAGATCATGGCTCTGAGAGTGATGACAAACAAGTTAAAAAATGCCTACAATGGCAATGATATCTACTTTCAAGACTCAAGTAAGTAACACTCCACACATTTTTTTAAATATATATTATATTGTTAAGAAATACTATAGCCATACAGTTTTTCCCAGTATACCTACCGTATTTGTATTTGAAAAAAAATTGTTTGTTTTTGTAGTTATACTAATTGTTTCTGTATTCATGTGGTCACTTCAACATTGAAAGTGTATTTTAAATCAATATTCCTCTCTCTGTCAGTTCCTCTCTCTGTATATTTATTGACTGCTTACTGTGCCCTCTGTCTTCCTGTGCTGTTGTCCAGGTGACGAGGGCAGTGGCTCGGGCAGTGGCAGCGGCTGCACAGAGGCCTGCGTCACTGAGTTTGTCTTTGCCAGCACCGAGGCACCGGTGGTGGGAGCGGACCGGAGCGGGAGTGGACCAGTGGAGGATTCAGCAGCAGCCACACACCCTGCCCCCTCAGCAGCCCTGCCGGCCAGCCTGGCTCTCTCAGCCCTGGTACTGCACAGGCTATGGAGATAATGCTAGGGGAACTCACCCAACGTGGACAGAAGGATCTCTCTTTACGCTGTGTTTTTCTACTCAAGCAGACTGGAGCTACAGTCAAGCAGACAGTATTCAGGCAGCCTTGGCCTCTCGGATAGATAGAGGGGTCTTCTCTGCTCTGGAGACAGCAGTCATGCATCCTGGATCCCCCTTCCTCCTCCCAAAATGTCTGGTCATTGGTGCCATCCTTAGGCAGGACTTCACATGACTCCCGTCACTCCAAGATATAAACAGATGATCCACCGTCAAACATTGTTCAAGAAGCCCAAAGGAATTACTTTATTCTGGCATAAGGCAGATGTTATTAGGTCTCCATGAGAAAAAGTAATTGCACTTTTGGTCTATTTTTTTTATGCTATAGAAGATTATTATGTTGTACCACTGTGGGACTGTGGAGAGGTTGCACCAAGAGGTGATCAGAAGTTAGAACTAGAACGTCTACTATGGTATAAGGTGATCTCAGCTGGCAGGTATTTTACTTGTTGACAGGTCAGCAGTGTAGTTCTTCATGCATAAAACAAACGCGAGTACCCCAAAATCACAGGAAAATACCATAGATGCAGTAAGGCTTTCCCATTAATTGTTGATTTCTTCCTTGGTTCATCTGCTTTAAATATTATTGATTCTTTTTCTACATTGACAGAAAATGATACATATGAAACATGTTTAATGATAATCAGGTAAAGTAAGATATTGTATAACTCATACACTACATTTACAAAGGTATGTGGACAGCCCTTCAAATTAGTGGATTTGGCTATTTCAGCCACACCCGTTGCTGACAGGTGTATAAAATCGAGCAAACACCCATGCAATCTCTGTAGAAAAACATTGGCAGTAGAATGGCCTTACTGAAGAGTTCAGTGACTTTCAACGTGGCACTGTCATAGGATGCCACCTTTCCAACAAGTCACTTTGTCAAATCTCTGCCCTGCTAGAGCTGCCCTGGTCAACTGTACGTTCTGTTATTGTGACGTGGAAACGTCTAGGAGCAACAACTGCTCAGACGCGAAGTGGTAGGCCACACAAGCTCACAGAACGGGACCATCGAGTGCTGAAGCACGTAGCGCGTAAAAATTGTCTGTCCTCAGTTGCAACACTCACTACCGAGTTCCAAACTGCCTCTAGAAGCAATGTCAGCACAAGAACTGTTAGTCGGGAGCTTCATGAAATGGGTTTCCATGGCCTAGCAGCCACACACAAGCCTAAGATCACCATGCGCAATGCCAAGCGTCGGCTAGAGTGGTGTAAAGCTCGCCGCCATTGGACTCTGGAGCAGTGGAAACGCGTTCTCTGGAGTGATGAATCACGCATCACTATCTGGCCGTTCGACGGACGAATCTGGGTTTGGCAGATGTCAGGAGAATGCTACCTGCCCGAATGCATAGTACCAACTGTAAAGTTGGGTGGAGGAGGAATAATGGTCTGGGGCTGTTTTTCATGGTTGGGGCTAGGCCTCTTGGTTCCAGTGAAGGAAAATCTTAACGCTACAGCATACAATGACATTCTAGATGATTCTGTGCTTCCAACTTTGTGGCAACCATTTGGGGAAGGCCCTTTCCTGTTTCAGCATGGCAATGCCCCCGTGCACAAAGCAAGGTCAATAAAGAAATGGTTTGTCGAGTTCGGTGTGGAAGAACTTGACTGTCCTGCACAGAGCCCTGACCTCAACTCTATCAAACTCCTTTTGGATGAATTGGAACGCCGACTGCGAGCCAGGCCTAATTGCCCAACATCAGTGCCCGACCTTACTAATGCTCTTGTGGCTGAATGGAAGCAAAGGGGGGACCAATTCCATATTAATGCCCATGATTTTGGAATGAGATTTTTGACGAGCAGGTGTCAACATACTTTTGGTCATGTAGTGTATCTAATATGAGTTTTTATCATTTACTGCATTCTGTTCTTTTGAGTGCATATGTTATCATACCACAATTAACCTCATCAGAAAGATTGCCTTAGGTTATGTTATATGGTGATATCCACTATGTCAGATTTTCCCATAATTGGATAGAATAAAAGAATGGCCAACCATTTAGAAAGGATCGGCCTGCATTTTTGGTGCGAGGTTATATTTGTAATATCCTCAGATATTAACCTTTACCTGAAAACTCAGGATTGAAATGTTTTCAATGTTAATTCAACTTTTTTTTAAACTGCACATGCTTAACTTCATAAGCATATGTTCATCTAGTGTTTTCATTACCTGCAATGTGATGTCTTTAACTTCCCATCTGTCATTATGAAGGCACATTTAGATACAGTATGACACCATGTTCTAACAATTCTAGCAAGCTTCTTATGAACTAAATTAGCTGTTTGAGGCCCTCAGATTTCCAGATTTCCATCATGTATTGACAAGATCATTCATTGATCCGTTTTATGGAAGATACATGTGCAGTTAAAGTTAATGCACTTAAATATCTCTAATGTCAAGTGAGCTAATGTCAACATCTGTATTTACCTGTAACCACTAATGTCTTTATAATTCATAAGTAGATCTGATGAAATTACAGTACACATAACATTGATTCAAACCAAATGTTGTTTATATGTAGTTATTCATTACTGAAAACAGGAGAGAACGAATGAGGATCAAGAGGAGATGACGTGCCAAATTGTAGTAGGTAAAAACATAGCACATTGAAGACTAAAAATGCCAAAGGCAAAAAAGGCCCCTGCATTTATCTCTGGCGCCTGAGTGGTTCTGTCTGCGGAGACAGGCTCAAAGCCGACCACAGCCACCTGTGAAATGAGAATCTTAGAATGTAGAGAGTGTCTGGACAGGGTTGAATGCTCCAGTGAGGATAGGCAGTAGAGCGTACCGACAGAGACTGGGAAAAGATCGGCATTACTGAAGGGGGCGTACTGTATTTCCCCCCTCAAACGCTAGCCAACAAACCAGTCTCAAGAAGTATAGTGTTCTCAGAGGGCCGGCCGGTCAACTCAGTAAACCACAATGGCCAGCTAAGCTAAGCATACATATCAAGGGAGTTAGCCAGTATTATATTAATATCCTTCATCTCTTATTGGACTTGTTGCAGCATATCAATTGTGAGCTTGCTTCGTTGCCTCTTGATAAACCAGTATTAGTGTTCACCTTGTATGAATGTAAGGCAAATGATGATGATGTGCAAAATAATGGAGAACAAAACAGTTTGTCTCTTTGTCAGTGTGTCCTTAAAATAAGATTCTTTATTATGAATAATGATCTCGCAGGATGCAGATTTTATTTTTTTGTATTATTGCACTTTTAATGGTAATATTTTTGCTATATTTTGTCTTGTATGTTTATGGATCAGCAAAAGTAATGTAAAAAACAAACGTTTCAGAAACGTTATTCATCAACATTTCGTACAATCAAATGCATTCTATTATAACAAAAAAAATAAGATCATGATAATATCTTGCTTGGAGTTGGAAAACTGTTTCAAGCCAATACAGTGCCTTGCAAAAGTATTCGTCCCTCTTGACATTTTTCCTATTTTGTTGCATTACAACCTGTAATTTAAATGGATTTTTATTTTGATTTAATGTAATGGACATACACAAAATAGTCCAAATTGGTGAAGTAAAATGAAAAAAATAACTTGTTTAAAAAAATTATAAATAATAAATAACGGAAAAGTGGTGCGTGCATATGTATTCACCCCCTTTGCTATGAAGCCCCTAAATAAGATCTGGTGCAACCAATTCAGAAGTCACATAATTAGTTAAATAAAGTCCACCTGTGTGCAATCTAAGTGTCACATGATCTCAGTATATACAGTTGAAGTCGGAAGTTTACATACACCTTAGCCAAATACATTTAAACTCAGTTTTTCACAATTCCTGAGTTTTAATCCTAGAAAGAATTCCCTGTCTTAGGTCAGTTAGGATCACCACTTTATTTTAAGAATGTGAAATGTCAGAATAATAGTAGAGAGAATGATTTATTTTAGCTTTTATTTCTTTCATCACATTCCCAGTGGGTCAGAAGTTTACATACACTCAATTAGTATTTGGTAGCATTGCCTTTAAATTGTTTAACTTGGGTCAAATGTTTCGGTAGCCTTCCACAAGCTTCCCACAATAAGTTGGGTGAATTTTGGCCCATTGAGCTGGTGTAACTGAGTCAGGTTTGTAGGCCTCCTTGCTCGCACACACTTTTTCAGTTCTGGCCACACATTTTCTATAGGATTGAGGTCAGGACTTTGTGATGGCCACTCCAATACCTTGACTTTGTTGTCCTTAAGCTATTTTGCCACAACTTTGGAAGTATGCTTGGGGTCATTGTCCATTTGGAAGACCCATTTGAGACCAAGCTTTAACTTCCTGACTGATGCTTCAATATATCCACATAATTTTCCTTCCTCATGATGCCATCTATTTTGTGAAGTGCACCAGTCCCTCCTGCAGCAAAGCACCCCCACAGCATGATGCTGCCACCCCCATTCTTCACGGTTGGGATGGTGATCTTCGGCTTGCAAGCCACCCCATTTTTCCTCCAAACATACAGTGAGGGAAAAAAGTATTTGATCCCCTGCTGATTTTGTACGTTTGCCCACTGTCAAAGACATGATCAGTCTATCATTTTAATGGTAGGTTTATTTGAACAGTGAGAGACAGAATAACAACAAAAAAATCCAGAAAAACCCATGTCAAAATGTTATAAATTGATTTTCATTTTAATGAGGGAAATAAGTATTTGACCCCTCTGCAAAACATGACTTAGTACTTGGTGGCAAAACCCTTGTTGGCAATCACAGAGGTCAGACGTTTCTTGTAGTTGGCCACCAGGTTTGCACACATCTCAGGAGGGATTTTGTCCCAATCCTCTTTGCAGATCTTCTCCAAGTCATTAAGATTTCGAGGCTGACGTTTGGCAACTCGAACCTTCAGCTCCCTCCACAGATTTTCTATGGGATTAAGGTCTAGAGACTGGCTAGACCACTCCAGGACCTTAATGTGCTTCTTCTTGAGCCACTCCTTTG